GGAAGAAACCATCAAAATACTTGGGGGCACTGGAGGTCGAGAAATGCGTTTCTTGAAAGCAGGCCATGTCAATATGGTGGCTGCGGAGATAGCGAAAGGCTTTCGTCCGTTTCTGGGGGGAGTTCAGGCCTTGCACATTCAGGGAGAGCCAGCGGAGCGGCATCGTGCTGCTCAGGGCCGGTGACCCAAGTAGGGACTCTGTACTTCAGGGGAGTGGGGGCGGTGAGGAAGTGGGTGCGGGGAGGGTGGACAACAAGACACACGTAGGAAAGAGGGACCAGGGGAGGAGGGCGGGCAGGGACGGGAGGGATGAGAAGGAGAGGAAGGGAAACAGACGCAGTGGAGATGAAGGTGGAAGGGAAAGTGCTAGGGAGCGCACCAGCCGGTACACTCTACTAGGGTTCAAGGTCGGAGGTTACCGGAGCAGAGAACCAAGAAGGAGGCGCAGGGAACCACCCGGGCAGGGAATTCCCTAAACAGGAGTTGAATGGGCACCATACAGAGGAATGGGCACCATACAGAGAATACAGCAAGGAGGGGGAGGGGGGAGAGGTGTAAGACAGTGATCGTCACCACGGCAGTCCCCAGGCTCAGGTAATGTCGGTGTTCCGGGGTGACGAGCAATGGCAAGAACGGTGAGGGTAATAAGGCTTACTTCGACATCTTAGAATACGCCATGGAATGGATACCGGGAGGGGGGGCAGGATTGTACGAGAGAGGCACAGCCAGAGCATAGGCTCCCTGGATCCATTACACGGAATTGACATAGGGGGTGTGGGGCAAACCTGGAAATAAGTTCTTAACATAATGTATACAAAAGAGGAATCCAATAGTAGAATAAAGGTAAACCTTACCAGCTGGGTCTTGGAATGCAGTAAACTAGTACTCGTCACCCAAACATTTCAGGGGCCTAGGTAAACCACAGGCCTAGGAGTGACCAACAATTACAGGGTATAGTTAGAGCAAAAAGAGACAAGTCCACAGTAGATAACAAACTGTGGGATGGATGCCGGGAGGGAGGTAGCAGAGCACAGGTGGCAAACCGCCTAACGTGGGCTCTGGAGATCCATCGCACATGTAAAAACTCAAAAGTCCCGGAAAAGAAAAAAAAAACAAGAAACAAAAACGTAAGAGAACCTAAAAATTAAAAATCCAACAATTAGGTTCAGATAACGACTCCAGCCACCAAGTGGGGCAAACCATACCAACCCGGTCTAGGCATGGGACAGCGTGCAGTCTGTCGGGACGAAGACTCCTTGGAGGGATGTCGGGCAGGGGGGTGCGAGTCAGCCGTCGCCGTCAGGTTGGAGAGCGTCGGCTTTCAGGTGCCGGGGGATCCTGGACGGTGTCGTCGAGGGGGAACTTCGTGCCCTTGGCGCTTCTGAGGGGGAGCGGTGTGGTAATGGTAGCGTATCCGGATGGGGAACAGCAGGGCGATGAGGGGGTTCCTCTGGTGGGATCACGAAGCCTAATTCCTGGAAGAGGGAGCGAAGATCTGTGGGCATCTCCGTATGTGAAAAAGACCTTGAAGGGGAATCCCCAGCGGTAGCGAACATTCATGGACTTCAGGCACATCAGGTATGGCTTCAAGGCACGTCGTTTCGCCAACGTGACGGGGGATAGGTCCGAGTAGACCTGCAGGTCATAGCCCTGAAAGGTGAGGGGGAGGCTTTGTCGCGGGCCGCCTGTAGAACTCTTTCCTTGGAGCGGAAATGGTGGAACTTGAGGACCACATCCCTGGGAGCCTAGCTAGTGCGCGATGCACGCGATCCAACTCCATACGGTCCACAGGGAGGTCCGGCGCCAATTCCTGGAAGAAGGCCATCATGGAACCGTGCAGGTCTGTAACAGACTCTGGGAGGCCTCGGATGCGGACATTACTACGACGGGCCCTATTTTCAGAGTCCTCCTGCTTGTCCTTGAGCTGCTCAAGTTCGTCCCGAAGGGTCGCCAGCTCCCTTTCATGGTCGTCCAGGATTAAGGTGGCGTCATCAATTCTATGTTCGATGGCGGTGGTCCTGCGGCCTACGTCTCTAATCTCGCGGAGCAGATCACTTGATAGCTTGCGGGAGGCCGCAGAAATTTCTTCCGGACAATGCCGCGAAAACGGGAGAGCATCTGCGAGTCGCCTTCTGGATCCTGGGAACGGAGAGCAAGCGGAGTGCGGGGCCATGGATCTGCATTCAACACCGGGTCATCCACCACTGAGTGCCGGCTGTGGTCCGAAGTTGAAGTTGAGAGTGGAGCGGGCGCCATTTTGGAAGGCCGCGCGGTCTCCACAGCACGCTCAGATTTGCGGGTCTGCGGACCTTTTTTCGACTTCCCCATCGGGCGAAAGGGTGCAGGGGGTCTATGTCGTGCTCCGGTTAGGCAGGGGTGAGCTGCTGGTGCCGCTGGAAGGACGATGGCAGAGGGAGTTTGCACGGGTGGCACGGAGGAGATCTAAAACGCGGCCATCTTAGATCCCTGCGCGCATGCGCCTCCATGCTGTACTTTTTTTAAAGGCACACCACTGCATTGGTGAGTATCACCATCACCATTTGCATCACAAGGGAAATTGGCTGGGAAAAAAAGCCTGTGCAGTCTGAACACAGGTGGTGTGAAAAAGCCCTGAAAGATTATGCTGCGGTACGATGACCGGTACAGGCATGAGGTGAGCTGTGGAAAACTGCAGCATGTCTGAATTTTTTTGCATTGCAACCAGTCTTATGTCAGCATTTGCTGTGTAAACAGTGCCTATGGAAAATAACTGTTTTCTATGTACCCCTGCAATGACTGGTGTTGATCAGGTGCTGAAAACTGCGCCACAGCACATGGTGTGAATATGCCCTTGCAAGTTACTACAAATTTACATTGTACAACTCCTTAAACCATACCTACCTACTTTCTAAGAAATAGGAACATTTTTCAGCACAGAGCAAGTATGCACACCCAGGGCTGTCCCTATGAGGCAGCCAGAGGCAGCAGCAGCAACAAAAGGAATTCTCTGGCCAGCGTCCCACTCAGATCCTGGCAACCTGTGATGTCACTGGTTGCCAGGAGCTGGGTAGGATCTCTGGCAAGTGTCCCAGCCAGCTCCTGGCCACCAATGACCTCAGTGAGCTGGGCGATAAACCACCAGGACACCAGCCATAGCGCTATTAGCATACACCACCAGAACCCCATCCCCCCCAACACCCCCCTCCCCAAAACATTACCACAAGCACCCCACCGCTGCCTCAGGTGGCGATAATGCTAGGGACACCCCTTTGCCCACCCCTTACATGCTTCTAGTTATACCATAAAGAATCAATGCACAAAACAAATCTGTTTATCCCAGATGCTCCTTTCTACTGGCTTTTCAAATTAAAGGGATTATTATTATACAGGATTTATATAGCGCCGACAGTTTGCACAGCGCTTTACAATATAAGGAATACATTAAAATCACAATACAATTCAAGACAAGATGGAAAGGAGGGCCAAGCCCCTGAGGGCTTACAATCCAAAAGGGAGGGGGAAGTGATACATGAGGAGGTAGCTGTGTGGGGATGAATTGTTTGAAAACGTGATGGTTGAGTGGTTAGGTTGAGGTGGTGGTTGAATAAGATGGAGGTTGAATGAAAAGGGATAGTATAGAATACAAGCTAGTTAAAAAAACATATTATAGGAAGTGTAGTTGAGCAACAGAGTAAGAAAGAAGGACAGAGGATGTTGGATTCAAATCAGGACAGTTGTGAGCTATTTGTTTTCGAATATGACTCATATTGACATAGCAGAATCATTCCAAATTGAGGAAAGGCTTAACTCAGGAGATAAATCTTAAAAATATATTCAAGTACCTTAACTATTAACAAAACTGAACCTTATTTGTGTATCACTCAGCTGTAGCTCATCAAATCATCTCGGAATTGTGCTGACACTGTCCTTCCTTCTGGATGGCGGGCCTGGGAATGGCATGTCGGGAGTTGGCGGGAAGGAGACCGATGAACATCCATTCGCAGATCTCCTTCCCACTCTAGTGAACCGGAAGAGCCCCTGATTGAATCACTTCCGGTCTCGTCATTGCTCGGCTGCAGAAGACGGGCAATAAGCTATTGGGCCATGATCTGTTCTCCAATAGCTTATTTTGAGTGCAAAGGTGACACTAGGGGTCTTTTAGTGATTTAGTGATTTCCTGTCACTTCCAATATGACATTACATAGGGGGCTTGTAAGATCCCTTAAGTGATAGCAAGTAAAAAAAAATAAAATAAAAGTGAAAATAATTTTAAAAATTACCCACGTACGAAAAAAAACAATCACGCTACATGTTAGGTATTGCCGTCTGCGCCAGAGTGAGAGCAATGATTCTAGGGGCAACATTCACAGATATATCTAAACTGATGACCTGTAAGGGCTTTAAAGCATTGCCTATGGACAATTTGGGGTACCGTATTTTGTCAAAAAAATGATTATATTATGTTTTCAGGCACTAAAATTAACTTAAGTGCATTTTTGGGTTTGATAAAGAGTTGCACTAATATCGTACGACATAAACAAATGGTTGCAACTGCCACCATTTTATTCTACAGGGTCTTTGCTTTCTGAAAATATATGTTTTGGGGGTTTTAAGTAACTTGCAGGCCGAAAATGTGGATTATAACATGTGTGCAAAAAAAGGCACTGGCAGCAAAAAGGTTAAAGCTTATATCTAGGGAAACAAAAAGCCCCACTGTAAGGGTTAACTCCTTGTTTATGTAGAGTTACCCACCCCTGGTCTAGGGAATTGTAGCAGTTCTACTTACCTGATCCCCTCTTCCGATACGCTCCGGCTTGGAACTGCCTCTTGGCGTCCTCACATATAATGTAGGGTTATGGACCCTGTGTTAGACGCAAGGATATCAGGGGGTCTCCGACCTTTGGAGCGGGGGGACACGGACGGACACCAAAGCTGTCGTATGAATACATGACCTTTACACCAAAGCAGCAACTCAAGAATACATGTTATAGTTACCAGGTACCAAATAATTTCATACATACATCCGAGAAGGGAACACCTCAATCCTGTCCTTGCCAGACATCTTGCCGGTGGAATCGCTGCTCTTACTCTCTGCTGTCACCAGATCTGCGAACAGGCAAAAGCACTAAGTCATGTGACACGAGCAGAATAGGCGGGGTCTCGTGACTGATCATATGATGTAGCCGAATAACGCTAAAGCACAGAATTGCAAGAGAACTCATTTCTAGCAACATTCACTTAAGCACTCACTTTGGAAATTATCTGAACGGTTTACACTGTTGACAGTGGGAATAATTTGCTTCGTATAAAGCCGTTGTTCTGTCGAATTTACCGACTTCACCATCTGCGCTTGCGCACACCAGGATTAACGAGGAAACAGGCATTTATGTACGAGGTATTTATTTGTAATTGTTAATTGTGAACATTTATAATATAGCATCCATGGCAGTAAATGGTGGATGGCATTTTATGCACATTCACAATTAACATCGTAAGCAATTACACCGTATCCGTACAATACATCAGCGATTTTTGCATGGCCCCGCCCACGGACCTAAAATGAATAAACATCTTGATTGACAAGCAATCCGCCACGAATAAAGATGGCTAACCAGGCTCTATGGAAAGTGGGCGTACTATTCATGTGCAACCTCTATGGTTCCGCTTTGTGTAGTCGCATGCGCAGTGGCTTTGTGCCGGAACGCATGCTGATGAAATAGTGCGGCGTGTGCGCAGGAAGAGTTGTAGGGCCCGGTTACTTTATTCAGTATAGCGCAGACAGTCACGGAAGCTGAGACAAGTAAGTATGTCTATCTTGTCTTTTGAAGCCGACCCGTCTCTTTTTCGTGAGCTAGCTCGCCTTAAGAGGCATAGACGAGTGCAGTTGGCCTGTAATAGTAGTTTGCCTCCTGCATAGCCAGTCCCACATTACCTTATGATTGGATATGTTTCAGTCAGTCTGTAATCACTCTGGATGAGGTTATTGTGGCCTGCCACATTTTACCATTTTTCTGGTACAGTTATCTCCGGACCCAATAGGGTTGCCTTGTGTTTTCCCTTTGCCAATTTGTACTAAATACTGTTTGCACTTTTTACCAAATACTGTTTGTGTAGTTAAAGTGATCCTAAACTTGGGAATTAAATCTTAAAAATGCATTCAAGTATCTTAACTATTCACAAAAATAAAATGTGGTTTATTTTTGTATCAGCTATAGAGCCTCAAATCACCCGAGTTTATGCCAGACATCCCAACTGTCCCAGACGTATTAGATAGCGGCTCCCAGCATTTTCTTCTCCCGGAAAGGTTTACTTTGCTCTATCTAGCAGAGTAAACCTTTCCCTGCTGCCTGGTGTTTTTTTGTTTTTCTGACTTTGAGGTCGCTGTCAGTTAGAGGAAAAAATAAAACAGCATAGGAATGAATAGCTAGATTGCTATTGGCTATTTCAATTTGCAATAGCAGACTAGCTGCTGCACCCGCCCACTGCTGCTGTCAATCAGCAGAGGTTAACCTAAAGTTCTCCATCAGGCACTCCTGTGCTGATTGACAGCAGTAAAGGGCAGGTGTAATAGCCAGCTTGTTATTGCAAATTCAAATAGCAATCTAACTATTCATTCCTATGCTGTTTTTATCTTTTTTTTTATTACGGCAGCAGCTGTCAGAATAATAAAAAAAAAAAACAGCAAATAGCATGGGAAGCAATAGCTTCCCATGCTATTTGCTGTTCTGCCATATCATTTCAGGGGGGTGCTCCCCCTCTCTCCCTTGGGGGGAGGGGCGTTGGGGTGGTGGTCAGAAGGCACCTCCCTGAAGTAAGAAGGGCACCTCCCTGTAATTACTTTTTTCTGGTTGGGATCCCTGTTATGTTGCCTAGGGCTGCAGCTAACGATTATTTTCATCGATTGGTTAGCCGATTATTAAGTTCGATTAAATCGGATTTAAAAAATGGCTCCAGTGATGGACTACTAGTTCGTATTGAGATTGTAGTCCATCATGAGAGCAAGCTTGGAGCGGTGGAAGTAAAAAAAAAAAAAAAAGTGTGGTGTGCAATATAGTGAAATGGAAAGTGTAAAATTATACAGCAATGAATGCGGAATGATACCGGCTATAGAGGACTACAAATCCCAGCAATAATACATTACACAGCACAATACAGAATACCACCAGCTATGGAGTAATACAACAAATTCCAGTAAGAATACATTATACAGCAGCACAATGCATGCGGAATACCACCAGCTATAGAGGAATACAACAAATCTCAGCAATAGTACATTATAGCTGGCGGTATTCTGCATTGTGCTGTATAATGCATTTGCTGGGATTTGTTGTATTCCTATATAGCCGGTGGTATTCTGCATTGCGCTGTATAATGATCATACAGGGCCTGTCAGGTGCTGTCCCCCCTCGATCGTTGGAGGGCAGTGGCGCGTCAGGGAGCTCGGAGTGGGGAGGAGAAGAGGCGTGTGTGTGGAGCAGGGTAAACTAATCAATAGCCGACTAATGGATGATGGAAACCGTTGCCAAATTTTTATTTTTAAAAATTATTTTATTTTTGTGACATAGCATGTTATGTCAGTATACAGTTGAAGGGGAAAGTACACATATAAATCATAAACAGACATATGTGGTGAGAGCATGGAAATGACAGGCATTCGGTAATATTAACAACGTCTCGAGTCAGCACAGGGAAATTGGTATGAAAACATTGGGCTGTAAGGAAGACATCCCCAAATTCTGGATTCGAGCACCCCTATCTCCTTGGGGGAATGCTCCAACTTTTAAATGGTCCGTAAATGGCTGAGGTATCATATCGTTCACTTAGTGAACCATAAAGAACCTCGACCTCTGAGAAGGTGTTGAATACCTGAGGGAGGGATAGATACTTGAATGCTGAAGGAAGGGGGGGGGGGGTAAAGAGAGGGGTAGAGATAAGGCAAGGCAGCTGAAAGATACATAGCAGGGATGCGCCAATCCTATCGCCCAACGCCCAGCACTTGCAGTTTTGTGTGCCAGGCAGGTGTATTTTTATTTTTTTTGGCTTTTTAAAAAAAAAAAAAAATCACATTTAGCCCTGCTGTGGCCAAGGAGTGCTTAATGGAGAGCAGGGGAGCAGTTGCTTGTTTTGTACAAGTGATCTGGGAGGGCTGTAGAGCCACCCAGATCACTTGTAGCAGCCTGCTTGTCCTGCCCTACATCCCTGCTGTGGTTTTTGGGGTCCCCTGCTCTTCTGGGGATTCAGGACCATGGCAAATGATCTCGGGATGGAGAGCGGGCAGCAAACACGTCTGTTCTCTGATCTGCTTTGTGTAAGTATAGAGACAGGAGCGCTGTACTTGCAGCTCTTCCTGTTTCAGCTGTTACAAGCAGGCTGCACAGGAGATGGCTGCACAGGAGATAGAGCACTAACAGGGCTATTCATAAAAGGGTGAAGAGTTTGGAGAAGGCAGGTGAAGTGAACAATCTAGGCCAAAATAGCCGATTTGTAAAAATTATTGAATTCAGCTCACTTTCCAGTTTAGCTATGTTGTCTAAATTTGTTCACTTGTTCACTTCTCCTGCCTTTACCTTTTTTTTTTTTTTTTATAACCCTGTGAGTCGTGATTCATTTTTTAAATTTTTTTTGTATTGGCGGGCAGGTGAGAGGTTTGGGGGTCTCCATAAAGAGAACCTGTCGCCTTCAAACGCTATCTCACAGGGGCTTGTTATCCCATGTGTGATGGAAATAAAGTAAAATATAATAAAATAAATGAAAACCAAACCCATCATCTGCATGCAAATAAATGTAAGCGTAAGAAATGCATATGTATGTAAACGACAATTGCCCAACAAATGTGTATCTAGAGCTGCAGCTAACGATTATTTTCAAAATCGATTAGTTAGCCGATTATTAAGTTCGATTAATCGGATAAAAAATAAAATAAATTTTAAAAAATGGCTCTAATGATGGACTACTAGTTTGTATTGAGTGTAGTCCATCACAGGAGCAAGCTTGGAGCGGTGGAAGTAAAAAAGAAAACAAAAGTGTGGTATGCAATATAGTGAAATGAAAAGTGTAAAATTATACAGCAATGAATGCAGAATGGCACCGGCTATAGAGGACTACAAAACCCAGCAATACATTATACAGCACAATGCAGAATACTGGTGGTATTCTGCATTGCGCTATATAATGTACTATTGCTGGGTTTTGTAGTCCCCTATACAGCGCAATGCAGAATACCACCAGCTATAGGAGTACAACAAATCCCAGCAATAGTACACTATACATACAGTGCATAATGTATTGCTGCGATTTGTATTCCTATGTATAATACACAGCACAATGTACCATCAGCTATAGAGGAATACAAATCCCAGCAATACATTATAGAGCACCATGTGTGGGAAAGTGCAGGCTTACCCATCTATAGGTGGCTGTCATCCCCCCCACACCTGCTCCTACTTACTGCTTCTCCCCACGTCCCTGTGCCGATTGTGGATGTGGGCGGGCGGTGAACGTGAGGCGGGGAGGAGATGCGGAGCGTGGATGCGGGCGGGTCTGGCAGCGGCGAACGTGAGGTGAGGAGGAGGTGCGGCACACGGCGTGTGTGGAGCTGTAAACAGGGCCAACCAATCAGAAGCCGATTAATCAATGATTGAAAAAGTTGACAACTTTTTCAATAATCAATTATGTCGATTAGTTGTTGCAGCCCTATGTGTATCACCACGAATGTCTAAATGAAAGCAATAATTCTATGGCCATGATTCATGGTTAACTCTAAACTGATGACCTGTACAGGCTTTTAACTTGTCAGCTATAGACAATATTTTGTACCATAGTTGCATGGGCGAACACAATTGTTAACGCTTGACATGTTTATCTATTTACTCAATAAAAGGCTCCATTCACACATGAGCGGTTTTCTGTGCATATTTGCACTTATGAATAGGCGTGTAAACGCACTAAACATAAAAACCAATGCATTACAATGTGCATTGCTCAGACTATTGCGGTGGCTGCGCAGTACAAAACCACACACCCCGCAAAATAGTTCAAGCGTGATTTTTATGAGCAGATTCCGCACGTTTCGGCTATAGTAATAGCAGCAAATGCGCGGAATCCGCGGAATGTTACCGTTTGCGCAGAAACCCGTTATGTGTGAATGGGAGCCTAACCGC